CTAACTAGAATAATACCCGGGTCTTATTCAATCTTCTGAATCACGAACCCATGAATTGTACCCGGGTCTTTTTCATAGGGGGTATTATAGCAGGGGGATACTATAGTCAGTGCCGTACGGTAATATCAAAACCAAAAATTTGTATAATTTATACAAATAATTGGCTTAATATATGTTTAATAAACTATGCAATGGATAACGATTTAACTTTCAGTTATAAGGATGTTTCTTAAAACAATTTAAGGTCTTGAGCGCAACGGTACTTGATGGTTCAACTTAGATTAATAAACGTTTTTCATACCCACGAACTGCCGTAAATCACATAAAAGACACCTCTCTATATTGTAGCCGGGGCCTATACCAGGGTTAAGATTGGTAACATATAAAATACCTGGGTCTGCTAACGGTAATTTATATACGAGTTTATACATAACAAACAAAAATTCACCAATTACTATCCCCGGATATTAAACAGAACAAATAATAAATATCCAAATTAAATAGTAAAGATTCATGAATAGATTTTTTCAACATTTAGATAATAAATGTTCCTTAAAAACCCCGTCATATTTTTTTCTGTTATGAAAGCCGAAAAAAGGTTTCTTTGTATGATCTAATAAAGTCTATTTTTAATAAATAAAAAATCCACCCGGTTGATAAACAACTTTTTTTGATAAATACTTCTAACTATAACCTAGACCGGTTTTGTTTTTCAGAATTCATCTGATTAATTACTTTAGCAAATACTTTAACAAATACCCTTTTGATATAATCTTTTTTTAGTTCTTCGTTTTCTGTCGATCCAATTAAATTTACTAACTCTTTAATTGTCCTAATTGCAGCTGGTACATTAGACAAAAGTTGTTTTGTATACTGATTAACTTTGCTATTCAGTTCATCGTAATCATCCACAATGCATGTAATGAATTTATCTGAAAATCCCTGTTCTGCCGATATCTTTTCTCCTGTCAACATATATTGTTTTGCCTTAAACAAACCAATTTCTGGAACAACATATCGTGAAATTATAGCTGGTACAACGCCTCGTTTTACTTCCGGAAATGAAAAATATGCATCTTTTAATGTTATTCTAATGTCTGTTGTAAATACCAAGCCTAGACCACCGCCTAAAGCCGGACCATTTATCTTAGCGATCACGGGTTTAGGACAATCCTTAATAGTTTTATAAAATCGATAACCTATTTCAAAAATATTTGAAAGTTCTTCAGGTATTGTACTTGAGATTTGTAAATCTAGCCCCGTACAAAAAAATTTTCCTGCTCCAGTTATTATAATAATATATATTGAAGGATCATCTTCAATTTTGGTAAAAATGTTAAGGAATTCTGTTACCATTTCAGAAGTAAGGGCATTACCACGTTCTGGTCTGTTCAAAGTTATAGTTGCAACTTGATTTGACACTTCCACGAGTACTTGATTCATTGATTGAAATTTTGTTGAAAATGATACAGGTTATTAACGAGAAGTATTATGTATTACGTGAAAATCTATTTAAGATCACCAGCCAATAAAATTTCTACTAAAAATTTGCGTGATCTGCACTCTATATCAAACGATTATAAAAAAAAAAAAACTACTTCGCTTTTAATTTCTCCCGTAATATTTAGCACTTTTTAATTATATTAAAGCAAAATGTTTAATAAAAGTCGTCTTTTCAAAGTAATAACGTCAGAATTTTTAATTTATTAATTAAAATAACCGTTTTTATCGAGATAACGATAATGAACTTTTACTGATTAAAATTTTACCGTTGATGACATGCTTAGTCATGACTAGTAAGTTCTCTGACCAATCATGACTAGTCTTTGCTTTCCATATAAAGGTGATTCGATCTTTAAAATTTCTCACTAATTAATTTTTATTTAATGTTTCTTAATGCTACCCCAGGCTTCTTCCACCCTTGGTGTTTTCTCGTGTACACTTCGTCACTGGCATCGCAAAGGTAAAATTGCAGCATTTTGTTCACCAGGTTTCAAATATTGCAGACACCACTACACCACCTCTTTCTTCTTCTTTTTCTCCTCTGTTAAAAAGTTACATCTATATATAAGTTTCAAGTTCAAAGCAGAAGGCAAACCTTGAGCAGCAACAAGAGTTTCTTCTCACTAAGTGTTTCCAACATAAGCTTGTCATAGACATCAACTTCAAAAGACCTGGTTTGCACACTATACTGGAATAAACAAGTCACAAAATAGTTACAAAAGTTGTGGGTGTCTACAGGAACAAATTATATTAATTTATATATGGGGGTGAGTCAGTAGAAATGCATCAAATTTTTTCTAAGTAAATTTTTTTAAATCTTTGAACAAAAATAACTCAACAATAATTTAAGC